CTCAAGTCGTGTGTTCTATTTCACTATTTGTATCCTATAACACCACGTGACATTTAAATAGGGATATTCATGGAGGTTTAGTCAGAATTTTCGTTCCTAATCCTGTAATATATAACAAAGTAGGTCAACATATTTAAACGATCAATAAATTGTGGGTGTGTCTAATTCCTTAATCCACATGTTACTAAACAAAAACCTGTAAATTAAAAGTTTGGAGTTCACCTTCAATAACCGTGTTATTCGATACATTGCTTTTATTGGCTTCAATCAAAGCTTTTTGTACAACGGGGATCAAGCCTAGCCCTATAAAAATAATAATACTTTTATATAAATTTACAGGCGAGTCGAAGTTGAGATTAATCGATAATTTATCGATATTATATAAGGATTTGAATATTGTCAAAGTTAGACAGACTTAAATCTGAAAAGGAAGGTTTTTTGTCTGTGTTTTGGGGGTTTTGTAGTTCACTACTGCTTCTTAAAAGGAACCATAATCTAGACTTACGCCATAAAATGATTTGATCTAAAATAAGGCTTTGATTTACTTGTTTTGGGGATTTGGAGTTTATAAATGTTTGTTAAAAAGGAACCATTATCTAGACTATTCATTGCTCACTTTCCCAGAACATATTTTACACCCCAACTTCAAATTTATTGATAGATATACAATATATTATATATTTCGATATACCCACTTTAAACAACAATTGAGTTTTATTCTGTTTCAATAAACATAAGTAAAAGAATGAAAGTTTGTACTTAGAATCCGACATCTATATCTCTTCAAGACACCAACTATCCGATGCATTATGATACAAATTCGACGCAATCCAGAAAAGCACTGATTGGTCTATTAGTTTTTTCGACGAACTACTCAATTTCGTCGGAACTTTCAAGAGGTAAGTTAGAAAAAGATATTTGTTTTTTTTAAAACAATTTATAATTTATAATTGCGCCTTTTATATAATTTTCCGAGAGCCTATATTTCTAATACCCGATTAGTCGGTACATTGTATATACATGTAATTAAACATATATTATGCAGGAGCTAAATCTGCCTATTGCAGGACTTTCTTTAGGCCTGAAATGTTATCTAAGTTATTAATTGGACATTAATTGACTTATCCAGATCATAATCAACTCTCGGTGTCATCGCTAGCCTGCGATGTTTATTGGATTAGGTTCCGATTTGCTGTTCGACTTCCATTCATGATTTAATCATGAACTGGATAATCGAGACTATATTTTTTATCATACCGACTTTAGTAATGATGATCGAGTCTAGGCCAAAAATTCAATCACTAAAATCTCGGTTCAGAGTGGATCAATTTGACTGAAATTTTCAGCAAATTTCCTTTACACTATCTAGTTTTTAACTATTATAGTGCGATGGGATTCGACGAAGAGTAGGCGGATTCTCCGGTACACTCCAATCTCCATCTTCATTTGAATTTCGGTGCTGAAAAGTAGAAAATATTACGTTAAAGATACATTATGGGAGATTAGATAAAGAGCTGGTAGTTCTCACTATAAGTCATTCCATGTCAAGTGGACCAAATTTAGGAAAGTTGGGAACATGACCCCCTCCCAAATATTATAAAAAATATATGTTACAGTACATGGACTTAAGCTAACAAATCCAAAATAATACTTCTCTAGGTCGAAAATTCGCAGAGATATGGCCATTTGAAATTGTAATTTTGGTGTAGATTATGAATATTCCCGGTTGTACGTGACAAAGTGTAGGGTCGCCTGTCCAACATTTTCTCCGGGTCCTCCGGTTTCCTCTCACTGCTAAAGACCCCTACGCGCAAGCGAATTATTGAAATTAAAATGAACCATGTGTTAGTCCCGAAATGACCTGGTTTGTGTCGAGTGGACGTTGAACCCCCTCTCTCTCTCTCTCTCTCTCTCTCTTTCCCAGGCTTTCAACGACACCGAGAGTTGATTATGATCTGGATAAGTTACAACTCTCACGACCATTTCCAGACTACAATTCCCATGACCGTTACTTAAACGCAAAACCCAATTACACGATATCAGTTGGTGAATGACCATCGGTAATTTAAACTGATTCAATTGCTACTCATCTTGCTGTTCTTCTTGCTTATTTTGTGGGGGACGATGCTCTGCAAAAAAGCCCAAGGCTCTGTCATTGCATGTACGCACGTTCGACATGAAACTCGGCACGCATCTTCCTTGGACGGACTTCACACTTTCAAGATGGCTGCGATGACGTCACGCTGGTAAAGGCTAAAAGCTCAGGGTCCTTATTCACGAAAACTAACTAAGATAAAATCCAAATTTCAGTAATTTGATTGGATAATATTAGATTGATTTTAGTGCTTAGCCAATCAAAATTGAGGTATCTACTAAAATTTGGATTTTATCTTTAGTTAAAATTTCGTGAATCGGGGCCCAGGCACATTGCAGATTTTGTTATTGGTCACAAGATGTAATTAGGGTCTTAGCTTTAAGCCCCCATCTGTCACGATTGGTTCCTGGTCCATATAGTACACTCGTTTTGAGATATGCTTTTCATCATTTTGCCCAACCTCTTCTCCACCTTTCTATTGGCAATTGTTTCTTTATGATATGCCTTGACTACAATAGGGACGCCAGTCGGATTATTCTCCTTGACTATCGGAATTGTGGAAAGTCTTTATCGAGTTTAATGGAATTTAAGTAAGACTCAAAAAGGGCCGTGACGATCATTTCGAAGACTAAAATACAATTATTATAATATTAAGAAAACGACTTATGCATGCTTCGCTCAGCTGGTTATTTATACAGATTTGTCTTTAGCCCAGTTGGACGTTAAACCCCATTTCATTTCATTTCTTTACAAAAATAGGGATTTACACTGTTTATAAAACTGCCCACACCAATTTTCTTAATAAACACAAAAACATAATATGGAACACAATTTCTATCTATATCACTTTTCTATTTACACCCCTTTACGGTTCACGTACAATTTTCACAAACTGTTCTTGACTGTCGGGACAGTGGGATTTAGTTTTTTTCTTTAGTTTGTGGGATTTGTAATAAGACCCAAGATAGAACATGCACAATAGGACGAATAAAATGTTATTAAATATTTAATCAGACCCCCCCCCCTCCTCTGCTTGTTATTAATGTAAAAACTTAAAATGTATTCATAGACCTTAAAATATGCATTAAGCAAGATTTAGATAAAGAGCTGACAGTTCTCGCTATAATAGTTACAAAATAGAAGGGAATATGTTGAAAATTTCAGTCCAATTACATCATTCTGAGTGGAATTATCCTCGTTTACATAACAGTATAGTCTCGATTGGCATTGCCACCGTTTTACGTTAATTAACAACGTATTGATTATCCATTTTTAAATTAAATCATTAACTGCCAATCGGATTTAAATCTGTTGAAATTAAAAACCATCCGAAATTCTACATAGCTGATCATGGGCCTTGAATGAAAATAAATGTCTAATTAATAATTTATATAACATTTGAGGCCAAATGAAAGATCTGCATTAGGACACTTCGTAGTAGCCGCTATAAAATTTTTAAAAAAGACGGTACAATCAACATAATGTTTACTATATAAAACCTCAGTAGGTACAATCAGCATAATGTTTATTATATAAAACCTCAGAAGGTACAATCAATATAATATTTACTATATAAGACCTCAGTAGGTACAATCAACATAATGTTTACTATATAAAACCTCAGAAGGTACAATCAACATGGGGGGGGGGGGGTGGATGGCCGAATGATTAGCACGTGCGCGCTGTATCATAAAGCCTGTCATTGAGTCAACTGGCGTGGTTTCCAATCCACGGTTGTACGTGACAAGGAGTAGGGTCGCCTGTCCAACCTCGTGGGCTTTCTCCGGGTCCTCCGGTTTCCTCCCACTGCTAAAGACCCCTACGCGCAAGCGAATTATTGAAATAAAATTAAACCAAATGTTAGTCCCGAAATGACCGATTTTGTGTCGAGTGGACGTTAAACCACATCTCTCTCTCTCTCTCTCTCTCTCTCTCTCTCTCTCTCTCACAATCAACATGATGTTCTCTATATAAAACCTCAGTAGGTACAATCAGCATACTATTTGTTATATAAAACCTCAGAAGGTACAATCAATACAATGTTTACGATATAAAACCTCAGTTAGTACAACCAACATACTGTTTATTATATAAAACCTCAGAAGGTACAATCAACATAATGTTTACGATATAAAACCTCAGAAGGTACAACCAACATACTGTTCATTATATAAAACCTCAGAAGAAGGCATATCATTTATTACGCTTCATACTCCTCGCAGTGTTCCGTTTGATTAGAGCTAATGTCAGAGAGGGATTTCTCGGGCCATTGCTTCAGGAATATGATTACGCTTACGCTTCTGGTTCTTGACTGTGATATCTCAATTGCTCAAGCAGACGCTAAACCACCAAGAAATAGCTAGAAAGTGTTTGGACGGTTTATACCCAGTCTCGCTTTTGGCGCCTTACCGACCAGTCATTTTCTATGTTTTTAACAATACGCCGAGTAGGCGTAGCATTTTAATTGCAAAAAGGCCAATAAATTAATATATATTCTAAACGGATGAATTCATTCTAATTGAAAAAGTCTTTCTAAAAATATTCAATACAACATACCATTTATAAACTTTGGATGGAAACAGAGTGGTTTCAATACAACGCTTATAAAAAGCCATTCTATTTTCAAACATGTTTTGATAGATATTTAGGGCGTGTTCTATGATATTTATATATAATAGTCTAATGGATCGTCGCTTGTGTTTCGCTTTCTATTCATGAATACAAATCGTGTATTTCATCCCTTTCTCGTAAGACAACTCAGAACCATAATATCTTATTTTAGCCTTTCAGAATCCCTTGACCTAGGATATCATTTCTTAATGTATTTTCTTTAAATAAAAGAGCCAATAAGGGGCCATAACTGTAACCTATTTTCTATTCATATTATCAAATAACCATATATAATTGTGAATTTTCTCATAAGCAAATACACTTCTGTGTTGAAGGCTGTGAAAATAATCCCGCGTTTCAAAAAACTGGTGCTGGTCGCCAGTGGTGGGTACCATTTGATTTCTTTCTTTATTGATTGATTGATTAATTGATGTATTAGAAACTAATATTTTGTTAGGATAGATATTTAAATATTAACTTTGTAGTTAATACACAAGATAGGAGTTCATCATTTGATTAATATTTGAATATTTACAAATATTGGACTACTGACAATTTATTATTCTCTAACACATCTGAGAGTAGGCTAAAACTTATAAATTTTCATATTTGAATATTTGGGGCTATCGACTAGAGATATAAGTGATGGCGTTGTATAAATGTTTTGTTTGTTATCGTACATTTTGATCGGAGCTCGGGGGTGGGAGAATTTAATGTAACTTAACGTTGTATTGATAGGATATTTGAGTCTTATTATTTCAATTCTGGTTTTTTTTATTAGGACGGATGTGGGGTGGCTGGGGGTGGGGTGGGTGTTGTATTAATCTTTGCTTAATTATTATTGTCATTTGTTTCTTTTCTTGTAATTTTTATTTTTTATTTTTATACTTTTAATTATTGTTTACTTTTAATTTCTGTCTACATTTGTGCAATTACAGTTGAAGAGCCGTTCATGATTTAAATTAAGATTATCACGTGGATTAGCTCTCTTTCTTAAAGTCTCGTTGCGTCATGTTAGCGCATCAGAAACCCCTTGCAAACTACAATATTGTGAAAGATGAATCTCTAATAGGAATATCGGCCCAAAAATGGTTCAATTCCGTCCAGTATTTACACATGTATGTTGAACTGAAATTTCATCGATCTATGTAATAAGCCCGCGGCCATTTTGTTTTGGGAGAACAGAAATGATAGGCCTATTTTTAAATTGATTGAATCCAAGCCGGGAGATTATATAGTGTTGATAATATTGGTTTTGTTTTCCAAATAAATGTTAAATAATCATTTTAAGTATAAATTAGCGTGGTTTAAAAAGTGAGAAATTTGATATTTTAGCGAAAACTACGTGAAAGAGAAATGAGGTTTAACACCCACTCGACACAAAGTAGGCCATTTCTAGACTAGCGCATCATGGTTCAATTTTATTTCAATAATTCGCTTGTACGTAGGGGCTTTAGCAGTGGGAGGAAACCGGAGGACCCGGCCAATACCCACGAGGTTGGATAGGCGACCTACCCCTTGTCACGCATAAGCGGGGAATCGAAACAACACCACGTGATTTAATGACAGATCTTGTGATTTCATGCGCACGCGTTAAACCACTAGACCCCCCCCCCCCAACAAAAAACGAAAACGACGTATTGAAAATGATGCAACTTTAATGTGGTCATCAGAATGGGCAATATTTAGGAATCTTTATATAATTTGGCCTCACTTGAAAGTTTTGACAAACAGATTACCTGATAGGTGGAGCAAATGGTCAGGTAGGAATTAACCCGTGCGTGAAATGGCTTAAATAACGTCCACTTCAACTGGAATAATATCGTAGACAATGCCCCCACCTCGACCACCATGGATATCAGTCTAATTATAATTAAACAGATACTTTGTTACATTCAGTAATTCACAATAATTTGTGGTTGCTCGACTCTACAACAACCTTCCAATCACAACTAGTTTTGTGGTGGATTATGGTTATTCGTATATTAGAGTAATTTTAGTGGTTCAACTATTTCGAATACGAACTCTTGACATAAATTTTATTCTTCCTGTCAGAACAATTTCAATGGTAATTGTACATATTTTTAGATTATACCAAGAGAATTTTCGTAAATTGTATAATTTGTTCTGATCCAGTTTGATATACTTATATTATGTATGTATTTGTAAATAAACTATCTTATTTATAAATCTGTACATGTTCTTAATAACTGAAAGATGCATTTTGTAATATTTAGATAAAGAGTCCATCGTTTGGGTTATAATAGTTTAAAAGTAAAAAATAAAAACTGAATATATTGAAAATTTCAGTCATATTACTTTATTCTGAAGATTTGACGCAGTATGAAATATCGATTTTTCCATTTTAAAGGAGCTAAACCTCTAACTCAACAGCATCCATAATATTAAAAATTAAAAAAGCGAATCATTATTCGATATTTGACCATTTCAATCACCGTGAAAATATCTATGGCTTAGAGCTCCATTGGTATGAACAAAAACAACACATATCCATCAAGAGAAGTAATATAATTTAAAATGGACAATTCACAAAAGACAAAATAATAATCAAAACAAAAAAAGCCCTGTATAATGGACTAATGCTCGTTTTTAATGTACGCGTTTCCGTGTGCTTTTTCGCATACGAATGCAAATATAAGAAAGAAAACAGTTTCAATGTACGCATACATGAAAACGGACTTAAGCCGGCGGAAACGACTGCAGTTCAGTTTGGCCTGTTTACGTATTTCACGTATCTTGAGTGTTAATCAATTTATAAATACTCATATTACATTAGTATGTTCTGTTGGACCCATTTTCGTATACTTTAAGGTTCCTAAGGTTCCTAAGAATAGAGTTCTATACCCTTTAAAAGTTCGGGGATAAATCCAGCAATTTTCTTGATTATTTTAATGCGAATCTAGAGTAAATGGACACAACCTAATATCAAAATAGTGGTGTATCGTCATGGATTTAGACCCATGCATTATATTTCAAGGTTACGGGTGCTGGACCGAAATAATAACTTGATCAACAATTTCTTTCCTCAGCAGTAAAGCTGTCGGGTAGAAATAATTATTATAAACACCCATGACCACACCTTCTATTCAACTTCATTAGCTGTCGCGTCTATCGCTAAAGAGTTCCCATGGCGCACACAATTGCTTTCATTCTAAATTACTTACCAACTTAAGACGAACTGGCAGATGGTATCATACTCTGAAATTATGCGTTCTATTTTTAGAGAAATCGTGACCAGCGTTGAATACTACGACAAACTGCATAAAGCCATACCAAAATAAATATTCTTTTGAAAATGAATGTAATCGCGTTTTTTAAAACAAGAAAAAAACCTTTATGAAAAAATATGAAATTGTCATGGTTGTGACAGTTCGCACCAGTCAAAACAAAAACTGGTTACTGATGTTTCTCTTTCATTTGGATCGTTAAAAGATATTTAGTATTGCGTCGAAGTGTATTATTTTTGTGTGAAAATTTCTTTCTTTTTTTTTCTTAATAATAAAGAAGTAACAAAATTGAATGTTAACCCCACACAAAAGTTACGCTGATTGTCGAGCTCCGCTTGAGAACATACACGAAGCTTATAATGACAGTCATTTTAAAGATACATTATGTAAGATTTAGATTAAGAGCTAGTCATTCTTGCTATAATAGTTCGGAAATAGATAATGTAAAATGAATAATTTGAAAATTTCATTCAAATTACTCTATTGCGAGTGAAGATATTAGCCTTTGAAGGTTTGACAAGACGTGTGCAATAATTGCAACCACCGTACTGTTTGTTCGAAGCTGCGTCTCGCACCTCCATTTTTAGCTTAAATCAAAATATGGCCGAACTGTTCTAATCTATTTAATATCGGAGAAATCCCATGCCATCGAGAGTTGATTATGGCCTGGATAATGTAATTAATGTCAAATTAATAATTTAGAAAACATTTCAGGCCTAAAGAAAGACCTGCAATGGGCAGATTTAGCTCCAATGTATGTTTAAGTATATTTCAAGAACTTTTATCACTAAATATTCAAATATTGCGGGTGTTCTAATCCATTTAAATCTCGGCCATTCGATGAACTAGAAACTTTATAATAGGTTTGGCATGTGAATAAATGTCTAAACAATAGTTTATATAACAATTGAAGCCAAAATAAAGGCCCGTAATAGAACAATTTAACGCTGGCAAAATGCATTTTTAAATATACGTATGTCTATCTCTATTAGCCCGCGACGTCAAGAAAATTAGACGTCAAACCCAGTTTTTTAAAAATATTTTCCCAACTGTTTATTGTTGTTGTTTGTTTTAAAAGAAAACGCCCAGTATAGTTGTCAAGGAGTGATGTGAAAAAGATCGTCCCCCGTTGTTCTTCTTCGTGCGTCAATGGGTATTTATAACGTCTATTTTAAGAAGCGGTCCCCGACCTCTAACACAGTTGCACTAACAACCATTCATGTTTGTGCATCTTGAGTTACGGCTCAACTAAATATAGGACATATGACAATAATGCTGGAAAGGTAAATGACGTGATTATAAATTTAAGGTCATCACAAAATAGATATAAGGGGCGCCTTCTCAACCTCGTGGGTTTACTCCAAGTACTCCGGTCCTCCCATGGGAAAGTCCCTGCACATGCGCTGAATGTGCTACAATAATACTATCTGTCTGTGATATCACCCTCAAACAACAACAAAAAAACAATGTAAACGAATTATATAATTATCTTGTGGAACGGGAACTGTTCATCTTGTTGTTCCTGTTGTTGGAGAAAAGTTCTTCGAAATAATCCCAAGTCATAGACTTTTAATACGATGTCACAATTCCAAGATGGCTGTGATGACGTCACGCACAGTTCCTGGTCCATGGCACGGTACATGTTCGGACGTTGAATCACTAATGTGACATAAGATCAAAGATAATGATAACGATGACTGTGGATTTAAAGTAGCTAAGTCTCTAACCCAATATCATCCAAAGTCTTCGACATTGAAAACACGAATGATTTGTCAATTTAAATCAACATTGATGATGTGATCTTACCGGCAAAAGATGGGCTTCTGATATCCAATATTTAAGACAAAATAAACAGTTTACCACTGGTACACGAATCGTGTACCATAATGCGTTTCAGAGCCATTTGTAACAAGGGACTCGAAGAAAGGGGCTAAACATATTCCACAAGTCGTGACAAACGGAGACGCAAGATTCTTATCCGGAGAGCATGCGCAATAAATGCTATCTGTGTAGATTGGAATAACCAGACGCTAGAGGTTTTGTCGCTCGGAAAGGACCAAAAACCGTGGTGTGCACGTAAAAGAACCCATGCCAGTTGGAATTCGATTGCTGTCGGGGAAACATTTCTTTAGCCCAGTCGGTGCAGAAAAGTAGGACGTTAAAGCACATTTTTCATTTCATCAATAATGCGTGGCCATAAAAATTCACCAGATAGCGAAATAAAAAATTTGTCCATATTCATCAACCCATGACGGGTTGAAGGATATTGTAATAGATAACGTGCATGCTGTTTGAATTTCTCAAAAAAAGGTTGCCATAAAAACTTCACCAGCTTGGTAAATGAATAGTATATCTTTCGGATTATTACCCATCCTAAACATCGAATAATAGATGAGAACAGCGTGTATTTCATTTTTATCTACCATATAATTTATATAGTTCATTATATTTATATTGACTTTATTCATAGGGATTTACAATACGCTGTATGTTTATCCCTGCATTTAACTTGTTCAATTAGGCGAATCAGATTGTTTTCGTTGATATACGATGAGAACTTTACTTGTGCGTGAACAAAATTTTTTTTTCTTTTACTTTGATACATCAACCAATAACTACCATTCGTAATTTCTATTTTTCGCCCCTTCAGAACGCGATAGTCGAAAATTCGGAACGTGGGAGTCACGACAAAGGCAACAGCACCCGTACCAACGCGAGATAATCTTGATCCGGATATTAACATTCTCGTAAATGACCGCTATCAGTATAAAGAAATCTATCACACGAGGTGATATTAAAGTTCCCAGGTAGAATTGAACTCTAATGGAAATGTTCCAGTTTTGGAAATTACAAATTCTAAGACCTTCTTTACGCTAACTGTATATTTGAACAAAGATTAATATAATGCTTTCCATTTCCTTGAAGTCGTTTGCCTTGGTGTAAAAATGTAAATTGTGTTAACACGTCGTATGTGTTTCAGATGTTCAATTCTTTTAGCACACGAGGCTAACCGCGGTGGTTCATTGATTTTAAGACTCTAACTCACTACCAGGAGGTCCGGGGTTCGACCACCTTGTGGGGCAAGAAAGTTACGCGTAAAATAACCTTTGACACTTGAATTTTGATATAAGAGCAGGCCGTAACGCCAATGTCCTGGCCAAATAACCCTCATAACACACTGTATGACCTACGCCAGTCTTCATACGTCCAGTCGGTTCAGAACAGTAGGACGTTAACCCCAGTTCATTTTAACCTATAAACACTTTGATTACATGAATCGTTTAGCCAGACTTTGTTATATAGGAATGGATTAGTTAGATTTAGTCCGGCTCTCTTTATATGGGAATGGATTAGTTAGATTTAGTCAGACTTTGTTATGTGGGAATGGATTAGTTAGATTTAGTCAGACTTTGTTATATGGGAATGGATTAGTTAGATTCCCCATATTTCAACACTGGTTCGATCATTCTATATTATAGTTTTCCTTAGCACAATATCAGTACTAAAAATGTTTTATTTTTAAACAATTATTTTCCCTTACTTTCAGATTCGTGGGAGTCTCTGAACGTTTAGAGCATAAAGGTAAACTAATTTAAATTAAATTAATTTAAATTAAAGTGAACAAATGCTGGTTAAAATCTTACGTTTCAATTGTGTTACGATATTCTGTTTTTTACCATTAAAATTGTTGTTCCGTCTACCGATATTTCAATGAATTTATGCCAGTGGGAATCGAGTATTATGTGTAACAATGATCCGTGGGAATTGGACTATTGACGTAACAACAGCAGCAAGTTTGGGCACATCCTTGGTATTCCCAGTGGCCTCATTCCGTTCTACTCATCTATACCCGACCCGAGGGGTTTGCGTATTCAAATTATTTGCCCTTGATCGTAGCTTGATTCTTGAACCAATCAAAGAACAGTTTACAAACCAGTCTGAGCCTCATTGTTTACGTTCACAACAATATGGCGGCTTGTTTAGTCGATTATGAGAAAGTTTGCAAGAAATTTAATATAAAAGAAGTGACATGCACTTAAAAATATGCCACAAAACATGGGAAAAATGTTTTATGCCAGTTCTATTGTATTTAACTTATGTATGTAGAGAACAGATTTTCAAACTTGACAAATGAAGACGCTTGGTCACGTTAGATGATATTTCCATTTCAACCATTTAAACTTTTCAGCTGAAATAATCATTTGAAACATGATTAATAACTGTCTCCGCATTTAGATACTCTAAGCAGTTTGATAAATATTACACAAAATTGATAATCTATAATCAATAATTCTTCATTGGATTACTGCGCATCAGTTGGCAGAATTCGATTTTTGATATTCAAAGTGGGCTACGATGACGTCATGCTCGATTCCTGCTGAACAATACGGTCGTGCTTCTTGCTTTAAATAAAAGCTTACCCATTTATTTAAATCATATCATTGGGATTTCGTTTTTATGGTCACTCCATGTGTTTTAACCCAGGGAAAATATATCACTCAGATAAAAACTTGTACTGACTTTATAAAATGTTACTGATTTATTTTTTAATGTAAATCTCTTTTCTTTTCTTGTACAGATCTATCGTATTGTCAACAATCCTGTAACACCTATTTGTGTAAAGTCCGCGCTGGTAAGTAACAATATTTTGTCAGGTATTCTGAAAATGAACAGTAGTGGGTCTACTTCAGATAGAGGACATGCGTACAAAATATTTTACAAATCCACATATTCCCTTATTTTATTAATTATTACAAGAACATGTTTATCATCAATTTGTTCTCTACTGTTCTAAATTATACTCTTCACCTTCGTTCGGATTCTAACCCAAGGTGAACTTCTTAAGGTTCATGTCACATGGATGACTACGGTCCGCACTTATAAATTTAAACCCATTTCCTTGTCGTGAACCCAACTAAAAAGCACCTCTACTTTTTATGTACAATATGGCGGACAAGGCCACTCGGGTCACCGCAACTCTTTAATATATGACGCATTGAATACAATCTGGTTTAGTGATCCATTAAGGTTTCGTATTTTCTTTTTCAATAATGATTACACAAACTGTCTTGGTTCATGACTATTACCGGTAATAATGTACAAATTTGGCGTAGTATTACCTTTAATCATGCGAACTTGCCCAATTATGAGCAAATCTACATACAACCCGAGTAACTCCTTTTTAAATCGGTTTGTACAAATAACAAGAAATATTATCAAAACAATTTAAGGCACACATTTTATTCGAGTCCAGATCTAAAAAACCCAGTGACCTCTATGTTTACCGACAAAAATATATCATTGATCAAAATCTATGTTGGAGATCATACGGTTTATTTAATTTTCGACAATCACGTGATACCAATTAAGCGTTCTAGTAAAATAAAAAAATGTACCGTTATATCTGACATTAATTCATAATGTCCACTACACAGATAGAAATTAGTTGGCTATTCTTTTCCTATTCATGAAAAAATGTTATTCATATGTATTATATTATGTATGACTGCCCTCTTCTGATTGTTATCAGAACTCAAATAACGAGTCCCTCTGACCCTTAGTTCATTAAGACATCACGTACAGTTATTGACACTCAATAAAACGTTACCGTAAAAAAGGTACCGTTCATTTTTGTCCTTTTCACTAGACTAGCCGGTCAAATTGTTATAAATAAATGTATATTTTAATATCCCGATAAAATATATACCAAATGACATCAAGGAGGTCAATGTTATCATAGTGATACCACTTGAAGTACAATAATCTGATGTTCAAGAACTTCACCGAATAATTTCGATATTAATCGTCAGAATGAAACTAAAGATTGAATGAGATACTTGTCGGTCAAACCCCGCATGTGAAATTTCCAACAGACGTATGTTTACTTCAGATCACAATGGCCGCCATAGTGACGCATCTCGAACTATAATGCATATAACTGAACTAACTTCTATTGAAAAGAATCGGCTCCAATGGTAGTTTAGTAGATCCACTAACATTTCCAATCCCTATGGATGCCTTTCATTTGATCACTATTAAGCTGCGTAACAGTCGATTTGGCTTATGAGATTGCGACTAACGTCCGTTCAATCAAAATGGAAATGGTATCCATACGGGAGCAAGAACCTGCTGACTGATTTAAAAAAACCCTTGATGTTCATTGGATCTAAAGGCAATCATGTTCGGTGTATCGATACTGTGGTCCGAATGATAAAAGTCTAGTTCGATCTAGTCGTTTAGTTCCATATTGAATACGATTGATATGGCGGAAATGGGCTTTCTCTTAATTCCGATAAATGTTAAACCTGTCTATGATAAGTTTACCACAATCCCTAGTCTCTCCCAATACCCCAGCAACTTCACCAGAATTCAGAAGTCCCCGAGTCGGCTTCAGAAGTCCTTCCAGTCCAATGAGTGCTCTGAAACCACAACCCCTTTAGTATATTATGCGACCCTCTATATGTACTGTATTAATAATATACAATCATAATATCGTTTCGTATATTTTTGAATACGATTGATATGGCGGAAATGGGATTTCTCTTAATTCCGATAAATGTTAAACCTGTCTATGATAAGTTTACCACAATCCCTAGTCTCTCCCAATACCCCAGCAACTTCACCAGAATTCAGAAGTCCCCGAGTCGGCTTCAGAAGTCCTTCCAGTCCAATGAGTGCTCTGAAACCACAACCCCTTTAGTATATTATGCGACCCTCTATATGTACTGTATTAATAATATACAATCATAATATCGTTTCGTATATTTTTGGGTCAGGAACTGGGTCCCCAAGCACTACTCATATGGTTGTTCTTGTTGTTAGTGTTATTCTTCTTCTTCTTCGTGGTGATGCTCTTCGAAAAAAGCCCAACAGTCCGCCAATTCAAGTACTATCAATATTCAAAGATGGCTTTGGCCTTGATGGCGCCATGTTTCGTTTTCGTGTCCATGGTACGCTAGTAGACTGCGCGTTTCTCTTATTTACACTGCATTGTAATCTAGCATAATTTCTATCAGGATCCGGAAACTGTCCTAGATATAATATATCAATTAGAAAGACTATAACCATGTGAATAGGTTCATATAGCGTCCGCTTCCAATGAGGTGATTTAACTGACAACCCATCAGATCCACACTTGGAATTTAAATTTCCAATAATCCACCTCAAAACGAAGTCTCGTATATTGAAAGAGAGAATTTAATTAGTCAATAAATTTATATAATCTCAACACCGTCTTCAATGAAATGAAATAAAATGAAATGAAATGGGGGTTAACGTCCTACTGTTTTGCTCCGAACAGGACTAATGAAGACGGGCATACGCCGTACAGTGTGCTATGAGGGAAATTTTGCCTGCACAGCGGCACTACGGCCTACTCTTATATCGAATTCCAACTGTCAAGGGATCTTTTACGTGCACGGCAATGTGTACACGGGACCTCGGTGTTTCGTCCCATCCGAACGACTAGACAACTGTCCTTGTCAGGCCCTGTTATGCATCACTGACAAACACCGTCTTCAACGGAAAATAAAACATGGGTCAAAATAAAACGAAATGCAGTTAATTTTATTTTATTAAGATTGATAAAAACATCCGCGATCTATTGTTACTTTGGCGATATATGGGTGGACCTTTTAATACTTTTACAAACTATGACTCAACTGGTTGCTATTTCCCTGATATAGATATGCAAGGGAATGAGGGCTTAATGCATTTTTCTAACATATGTATACGACAATAGTCATGTCTATTTACAATCTTCATTGTTCAATATTTGTTTTACCAAATTGATGTTTAGTAATTTACACACAGGAGTCAAGTCTAGAATCATATTACTATTTAAAGATCTAGAATTATTTGAATTATTTTTAAAACACGCATGTGTGAAGTCTAATCCATTAGAAACACAGATGAATAGTTTTATGCTACCCGCGTTGTTAAAGACGCGCGAAGCCATTATCGTCTTCAGTTGGGGTAGAAAGAAACCAACGGTTTTTCATTATCGTCTTTTGAGGGAGCGGAAAGAAACCGCCCGTTTTAAATTCAGCAATCGATTCTTACATAATTTTTGCCTCTGACGCACTACATCTTTTGCAGAACTATCATTCCGTTCGTTTTCATTGACATTTATTTCGGAATATTTGCAATGTGTTGATCTATTAAACATACAGATTGGGTAACGAAATGGCCAGACGCTCTTAATATTTAACTATGGATCTGATAGACCATTAATCGAAAGAATCTTGGATCAGTCCAATAAGACGAGATCTATCGTTTTAGTCAACATTTAATAAATGTGTATGACTGAGTAAAACGGATCTTAAATTGAATCTCCACTCCCTGGAATTTCAATGCAAATACTATTCTCCACCCCACCACAACGCCCCCATTATATACTGATGACCAACAACTCACTGTAATTATATTATTATATCTTTGGACCAGGAACTGCTCGCTAACCGCTTCTTATCTTGTTCATGTTCTTCTTATTCTTCTTCTTGGGGTGACGCTCTTCGATAAAGCCTAAGGCTCCGTCAATTCAATGAAAACTGGCAGGCTTCTTCCTTGAACAATTCTGCATCGATTTGGTGAATTATATTATTGAATTTCAACCAACAACATGGCCAGTTTCCTGGTTCATAGTACGATCGTACTTGTTTCTTAATTCTGTAGCTTACTGCTCTTTGGTGTACTCTCAAATATCAGATATGTCATATTATATAGGAACCGGTTGGATCTATTTGACAAGGTCAAATGCATACGAGATGTAAAAATGGCTAGCGCTAACCCTTACCCTAACCCACAATCCATGGCAATAATCACGTGCCCTTACTTTGTTCACATCTCGTGACCTTGAGAAAATATGCATTTGGCCTTGTCAAATAGATCTGACCATTAGAAACCATTATGCACAAGCCTTTTGTTTGTTGTCGTATTTTTGAGACTATACTCCTGTACCCTTATTTGTAAATGTAATTTTTTTTTTTTTAAATATTGTTTAAACCGATACCAGTTCATATTTTCCTTACTTCATTTCAATAACCCGAACTGTATTACCCCGATTCACATACCCCGAATATCAAAGGTTGAAGTCACCCCAACTGTATTACATTTCCTTTATGCAGCATTTTATTGAACTTAACTTCATATAAAACCAACCGTGCATTGTGTATATTCAATTTGGAATAGCTATGCAGAGAAATGAAAATCTCATTTAAAGCTTATCACGTTGCTCAACAATAAAACAGTCTTGCTTATTTGAACTATTTTATTGTTAGATATTGCATAAATTTATTGTACCCTATTGTTAAAATTTAATAAGTAAATTTGATTCTGTGTACTGTTTAATACAAGACAGTTACTAGGTCATAATGTTGTTGTCGGTTAGGCCGTTTAGTGAAAAGGGCATGGGTCTAGACTTGCTGAGTTCCTTCTAAAATGGAGGCCGTGACACCTCAAGAAAATCATGTACATGTACATTATTTATTATTTGAAACCGAACCAATACATCGATCTATATTATTTTTCTTAATAAAACTAAAATACTAGGATTTCTTGTTTTGGGGTAAAGTAGGTTTTTTTCTATGTCATTTGGAGTAGAGCCGGATTTCCACGGTGTTTGCCTAATGAATA